GATAAAATTTTACTTCCCAAAGGATATTACATGATTTAACACAAATGTGCTTCCCTGCCAGCCCAGATAAATCCATTAACACTTCAAATTCAGGATCCCAGTGCCAGCCACGGTCACTGAGTGCCGAGGCAAGAGGCAGACAAGGGAATAATCTCCCAACTTCAGTCTTATTAACCAGAATTTGCCAGTAATCTCTTAGAACAACAAAAGGGGGATCAGCAAATAAATATTTCTCTTAGCCACAGGGAGCACAGGTGCAATCCCCCTGAGCAGGGGGAGGACTAACAAGGGGGATGTTGGGGTTGGAGGGGCCTTACCTGCTGCGCGTCTGTGTCCGACTGGAATGTAACGTACCAGTTGTTGTTGTGAGCAAACTCACAGCTTATCACCTTGGGGCAGTTCTCGTTCTTAAACAGGGCCTTCACCTCCTGGGGAGACAAACCCAGGCCAGTTCAGGACACCTGGCTCTGAGCTGGGCAGTGAACACCAACGAGACACAGGTTTGAGCTCCAGCTCTTCCCTCCCGTGACCAGGGATGTTCTCGTGTTCCCCTGACAGGTTCTCCAGGTACCACGTCATCCTCTCCCTGTTCCTGAACCCACAGATCCCACTCCAGGCCTCCCCAGTTCCCCCAGGTAAAACACAGCAGGATCAGGTGGTAAGAAAAATCAAGACCTGTGTGATATTTCCACAGAAAACAGGTAGCAAAGGTGTCATGGAGACAAGAATGATTCCATGAAATACTCCTAAGTCAAGGCAACCTGACAGGGTTTTTTTTTTTATACCTTTGCAATAATCAGATTGTAAAGAGAGGGACAAGCAGCTGTTCAGTGTTTGCATTAAAAGAACTCATTAAAAATGCTGGTAGACAAACACCCTGTGTTACAACTTTTAAAAAAACAAAGAGCTAAATCATTCTGTTCGCCAAGTATCAGGAGGAATTTTATTATCCTCCCTCCTCTGAACATAATGAGCTCAGCTCACGCTGGGGCACAGTGAATGAGAAATGTTTAGCAACATTTCTTTCTGCCAAAACAACAGTCTGACTTCAAGTAAAGTTACTGCTGTGACAAAAATTCAGCCTGAATTCCAAGCTGTGCCCTGGACTGATTTATTTTTGGATCCGAAAAGAAACCAGTTCAAACTTCCTTCCAGAGAAGCCAGGCTAGCTCAGCTTTGGTGGAAGAAAAGAAAAAAAAAAAGGAGTTTACTTAGGAAGGTTTAAATACAGTAGTAAATAATGGGAAGGCACGATGGCAATGAGTTTTTGTTTTGGCTGTTTTGACAGCGCACCCAGGAGGAAAATATTACTGATGTGGTTCACAAGAAAAATATCCCTGTTTAATCACATTAAACACCAGCTGACCTTTTCCTGGTGCTGTTGGAAGCCCTGTTGAAGACAACCTTCCAAAACCATCAACCTTTATTTCCCTCTCCTCCCCGGATTTACCTCTATGGGTGTTGTCTCGGGGATCTCACGGAGGATGATGATGCACCTCTTGTGGTTTGGTCTGACCTTCTCCCCTCTCTCATCCACTTGTACCATGGGAGAAGCTGAAATTCAAAGAGCAAAGTGGGACACTGAGCACACTTGGAACAAAGAAGGAGAATTCAGGAGTCTGGAACAGCCCCTTACTCAGCCATGGCTGCAGAGGGAGGGTCCTGTCACCCTGGACCAGCACAAGAAGCCACAACCAGCTCAGAGACTGAACCATCCCTCTGAAGGGTTCTTTGTCCTACTGACACACCCCCCCAAACCCCCAGACTTACATCTCAGAACTTCAAGAATAAGGTCCATATCTGTTGTCAGCTTCTTAATCCCTTCCATGTTGGCAATTGTCCATATTGGAACAAACTGATCGCTGTCCATCTGAGACATCAAGTAGAGATCCTTTGAAAGATTCTCACTAAAAAGACATAAAATCGTGATTTCATAAAAATCCTGAACTTGACTCCCAGAAGACTCAAAAAACCAGGATCAGTGCAGGCTTAAATATTCCCCAACTCCACTCACAGCTGAAACACCCTCGAATTCTCTCTCCTGGAACAAATCCCAGCAGACCAACACAAAGCAATTTAAAAAATGTCATGAAAGTTGTGGTGTTCTGCAGGTTGGCCTGCAAAAGGGATCTGCCAAAGAGCCTCCTGGGGACACACAGCCAAGTTATCTCGAGGTCTTACAACTCCAGAGCACAGGAGGTTCATCCTCACCCAAGGACACGGATGCACAGACGGGACTGGAACAGCTGGAAGGTGCCAAGGGGGTTTCCATGGCACGTCAGCAAACCTTGGTTTGTTCTTGATAAAAACCTTGTGTTTTTATCAAGATGATGGGACACACCAAGCCAAAACCAGGGAATGTTTGTCAGGGATTTTAGTGAAGGCTTTGTAGCAGGCTGAGTTAAGTGCACCTACCGGGAGAAGCAGAATTCAAGTTGTTTCCTCAAACATTCCCTGATGTCTTCCGTGGACACGGCGGAGGGGCCGTCACCTGGAAGGGACCACACCCCCCCATCAGATCCCAGTTCCACACCCACACAGTGCAAGGACACGTCTCATTGTCCAGCAGAATAAATCCCTCTGGGTAGGAGCAGGGGGAAAAGCTCATCTGAGGTGCTTAAAGAACTCAACACGCTCCCAACACGGCTCCGACCCCAGGGCTCGCACCTGCTTGGCCAAGTGTTGGAGCTTCTGGGACAGCCATGGACGTGCCAGGATTCCTCCTGGGTCACAGCACAGCTGCAGCAAACTGCAGGGGGTCCCAGGCACTGACAGCAGTGGTTGAACTCGAGCACTCACCAGACACTTCATAGATTTGGTATCCCAGGTCTTCGGTGGCCAGGACAATCCCGTTGGCAGAGGCTTCGTCGGCTCCTGTGCCATTCCTGGTGGCTTCACAGGACGGGGAATACATCACTTCATACTGCTTGCAGCTGTCCTCTGAGAGCTCTATGTTACCTGCCAAAGGGACAGCCCAGCAGCAGGGAAACTCCTGTGAGCCCCGGGAGAATTCCCCACGGGAAAAACTTGGGCTACCGACATTAAAACAAGTACCCAAAAACTGCTGCAACTGAGAGTGTCTAAAGTTAGTCTGTATGTCTCAGACTTTGTACTGGAGAGAACTTTCCAGTTCTCCAGTTTCAGAAAGGTCTTCTGGTTTGCACCAGGCTCTCGGAGATAAGTAAATAAAAGGAAATAAAGGATCCTGAAACTGATCCCCAAAGGAGGAGAGGACCTAAAAACCAGTCTTTCCACACGAAATTTAAAATATTTAAAGCGAGGTTCCCAAAAAACAAGGGGTGAAAATCGCTTACACTGCCAGGGTTGCTTCACTTTGTTGTGAAGAGACAAATGAGTTTCTGTCGGGCAAAGCACAAACCCGGCGCTGGATCCCCACTTCTGCTGACTTACCAGAAACCTTTTACAGGGCCACACGAGCTCAATCCCCCCTTCTTTATCCCTGACTTTGACTGAGCTGTTTTTGCAGGGAATCTTCTGCCTCCTCTGCTGTGCTCTGAGTCACCTCAGTTACCCCTGAGCCAAACCAGAGCCACCTGAACGCTCAGCTCTGGATGTGGTCAGGATGGAAACAGGGCTGGGATGGAACAGACCGAAGGGAGAGGAGCAACCCGTGGGCACTGGGCACTCCTGCCAGCTCTCAGCAGCCCCTCGGTGTTCCCAGGATGGCAGGTGGCCCTCAGACCTCATTTTCCTGTTCACAGGGTCCACAGATGCCAAAGTGCAGCGATGCCATGAGCCCATGCCCACACATCTGGCACCCTGCTCCCTCCTAGCGCGTTACATGGTCATCACTGGGCCTCCTGGATCCTGTTCCCTGCCCAAGTGTCCTGTCCCAGAGGAGCTCTGACACCTCCTCGACCCTCTGAACCAAAGCCCACCGGTGAGACCCGTCACCTCCAGAAACCCCCTGCTGCCTTCTCACACACTTTATTTCCCACTTTCTGCTCCCTCAGTACTGACAACCTCCAGGACAAGAGCCCAGGGGTTGCTCCTCCCAGCTGAACTGGCCCTGAGTGTCCCCCCAAGGGATGTGTCCCCACATCTCACCCTCGGCCGGAGTCCCCTGGGCCGCCGCCGTCTCCTGCCACGTGTGCTCGGTGCCATTTGAGGGGGGCACGGCCTCACCACTCCCCTGGGGGACTTCTTGCCACACTTTGGCGTTGGGGTTCAAGCCAGCCCCCTTGGATGTCACCTGCTGAAGAGACCAGAACACCTCTGTCAGTGCAAACGAGCCGGGGGAGCCCCAGAAAGCCAAGCCAGACAACACAGGAGAATTTAGTGACTGTCCCTCTAAGAGTTCCACATCTCAAGTGTCTACCCAGCTATTAAAGCACCTATGTGATTTTTTTTTTCATTAATCAAAAGAGGAAAATCCTTGGTGTTTTCCAAGTATTTCGGTTCTACCTCCATTAGAAGTGTTGCCTTCAACCTCTCTCTATTGACATCCGACAACATCAGCGGAGGCAGCGGCTACCGGCCCGGACTCTGGGAACTCATAAGCTTTTAAAGACTTGACTGTCATAATGCTCCAGTCCCCTTTCACCAGAAAGGGAAATTTTCCCTCCTCCAGACCCCTTCCTAGAAAGGAAGGTAAAAAAACATATGTCAAGGAGCAGAAACTGTATGACTTACGGAATTAGTGACATCTCTACTAACCAAGCGTCGCCTGCGCTGTGCCAGGATTCCTCCTGAACTTACCTGAGCCCTGCCCCGTCCCCCCCAGGGGATCACCTACACCTTGCACACATCAGCAGACACCAATCATTTCCTTAAACCTGCAGCCAAGGGGATTTGGAAGTGCCAAGACAAACTTGCACACTGCTGGGGGGGAGAACGGGAACTTCTCACCTCGGGAATGGGCAACGAGGACCACGAGTAGAGGGAGGGGGCTGAAAATGGGACAAGACAAGAGGAACTGCTGCATTCCAGCCTGGAACCTGGCAGGGAGAAATGCTCCCTCCCACAGCACAAGATGGAGCCCTCCAAGGTCCCTTTCCCAGAGCTGCTCAGAGGCATTTGGGTGACAGTGGTTTTTGCTCCTTCCACGTAGACAACAAAACCCCCCTTCTGCAAAAATTCTCCCCCCAGGAAGTTCAAACGCCCCACAGGCCACTACCACAGTTCCTCCAGCCACTGAAAGATGCTCCACTTCGCTCCTGCTGGACTTTAAAAGGTGAAAGCCAATAATCCAGCTCCCATCCACCAACTCCCAGATGAGGAAGTTGGATATTTCGGAGCCTGGCCTCCTGGGTACTGAAGTTAAGGAGTGGCTCACTACCAGGCCTCAAACACAAAGCACAAGGATAAGGAAGCAGTTGCAGCAGCTTTAGAGATAATTCCTCTGCCAAGGTCACACCTCGTGCCAAAGCTGTTGGCTGCAAGGACGAGCCCCAGTCCGGTAACAAGAAGCCTCCAAACACAGGAGAGGTTCAAGACAACCATGAGAGAAGCAAAACAAGGACCACGATTCCTGCCCTCAAACTTCCCAACAGCAGCAGTCTTTCCCCTCTCATTAATCTCAGCCCAAGAACAGAGCTGGAAACAGAAAGGACTGGAAAGAGTTCGGGGTGAAAGGACACGCGTGCGTTTCCCTTTGCAGAGTTCAGAGCAATCCTCCAACAAAACAACCTGAGAAGGGAATCCCAGGGAGCTGCTGCACCCCCAGGCTCTGTCCCTGCAGCTCAGCACTTCCAAACTCCACCTTGCTCAGCTGCTGGGCCCTCCTGGGACAGAGCATCACCCCTCACGTGCACTCAGGGACCCAGACCCAGCAGGTCCCAGCTCTTTGACTCTACTTCTCATCAAAGCAAAATGAGACAAGACACAACCAGGAGATGATTCATTCTCCTCTAAAAATAAACTCTGCCTCACTACCTACATCTCTGAGGGAAGCACTGAGCTCGAAGGAATAGCTGTGATAAAGGGAAACTGAAACACTTTTGGGGCAGTTTCTGTGCTTCTGGAGGTGCTCAGGACTAAAAGCAGCTCTGGGGATGGCAGAGGATGCTCCTCACCTTAGAGAGACCAAAGGCACAAGTGGCAACAGCACAGCTGTGAAATCTCAGGTGCAGGTGAGAAGGGCTCAGAAACCAAACAGATTTTGGGCTGGGAAGTGATGAATGGCCCGTGAACACAATGGCTGGGACACACACCTGGGCCACTTCCCCTGGGCTGGAAACCCTCAGGGACGTGGAACACAGCCCTGCACAACCCAGCCCTGCTCTCACCCCTCTCAACAGCAAAACCCCACGGTCTGGAGAGGACAGAAAGTCCCTAATTTACATCAGCTTTTGGGAAATTCGCCGTGCCGAGCCCCAGGAGCGGCTCTTCAGAGGAGAAGGCCAAACTACCAACTCTTGCTTGTTTAAGCGAGGATCCAGAGCCCTGGCCTGTGGGATTGGCTGCAGCACGACCCTCCCAGCTGCTATCAGGAACTTTCATGACGAGGTTAAAGCTTTACAGAGTGACAAAGGTTGGGAACACTCGCTGGGACCCACGAGCTGACAAAGCTGCCCTCGGCACAGCAAACGTGGATCAAAGATCTTCCTCCAGCAATTCCCCCCCCCAAAAAAAAAAATGACTGCTGAAGCCAACTCTCCTTCTTGAAAGGATGGAAAAGGATATTTTTCTTGTTGTAATTACATTTAAATCGTGTTTAACCAGAGTCAATTAAGCTGACAAAAATGCAAGCGCTCGGAGGTTTAAAGCATTTTAATATTAACTCAAATCATCCCGCAACCAAAACCTTAACCCAGAGCTTGTGACACGTTTCCTGGAGCAGGCAGAGACTAAGAGGGAATCAAAGCCGAAAAATCCAGAAGAGAATTTAACAAAAAAAACTTGGGAGGGGGGAGAAACTAAACCTTTTTCCAGAAGTGGAAACGTAAGCAGATGGAAAAACCCCAAGGTCAGCAAAGCCACGGGAGGCAGCACGGGAGAGAAACCTTGTGCTGGCTGGGGGAGAGGCAGGAGGGAACACCCCTGGGGGGGGACTCAGACACAGTGTGGGCTCCTGTCACCTCCTCAGAGAGTAGGAACCGTCACCTCCTCAGGGGGAGTCACCTGTCACCTCCTCAGAGAGCAGGTACTGTCACCTCGAGGGGAGTCACCTGTCACCTCCTCAGAGAGCAGGAACTGTCACCTCCTCGAGGGGAGTCACCTGTCACCTCCTCAGAGAGCAGGTACTGTCACCTCCTTGAGGGGAGTCACCCTCTCAGAGCTCAGCCAGGGTGTGAAGCTGGATGAGGAGAAGCTCCTCAGGAGCTGCCAGCAGGTCTCAGGTGACAGTTCCATGCTCTGAGCGCCCCAGGTGACTCTCAAACCCACATTAATGGTCACAAAGGAGTGTTGCTCCCACCAGGTGGGTTTTCCAAAGGCTGGGATGAGTCCTCTGTACCCAGGGGGGCTGTGTAAAGGGGGTACCTGTGGCAGAGGTGTGTGAACAGGGGCAATTCGGGGGGGGGGGCTGGTCAGCCAGAGGGAAGCCAGGAGCCTCACCTGCAGGAGGAGAGGGCCAGCAAAGCTCAGTGCTCGCCACAGCCCTGGATTTCCAACCAGGAAACATCACGGGCAGCGTTTCGCCCACCTGGAACACACAGACTTCCATTTCCCCCATAAACTACAAACAGATGGGATCAGCAGCACGTACCCCCCTGAGCAGAGCCCCCAGCAGCCATTATCAATCCCATTTTCCCCCAGTGCTTTTAATAATATTCCTAATGCAGCTAATTATTGATTGTGAACAGCACACGGGTCCTGGCTGGGAGGGAGAAAAAAGGCCGACCCCAAACATCAGCGTGTGAGACAGCACGAGCCTCACACAGCCCTCACTGCAGCACTGGAGTTAAAGATGTGACAGGAAAACCCAATTTCCCTCACTCTGTGCATCCCGTGAAAGGCTCCACTCACAATCACCACGTTCACACTTCAGGTGGGTCTAAAACAAACACCTACAGCTACAGCAATGCAGCCAATCCCCCTGGAAACCTCGAGATGTCCACCCCTGTCCTGCCCTGGGCCTTATTTTCCAGCAATCCCCAAAGATCCTGAGACAAAGGTGCTGTTTGCTCCCGAGCATCCGACTGCAGAGTCCCAGGACACCCCGCTCTGAGCTCCAGCCCCTGTCCTGCCAGCGAAAAGGCACCTTCAGAGAGTCCAGGTGGTCCTCAGGAACTCAAAACTGAACATTACTGAGGCCTCCAGAATTGGAAGATCAGCAAAACTCCCACCACCACCGGAGGAAGGAGATCAGACAGAGCAGAGTTGGTGTTTTTAGAGGGACTCCCTGAACACCCAGAGGTGGGGATGTGCTCAGGCTCCCTCTGAGCTCAGCCACAACATCCCCACCAGCCATGTGCTCGCCGGCTGATGGGCTCTATCTCCCAGCACAGCTCCACTGCTCCCCTTCCAGAACCTGCCTCGTGTGCCCAAAGGGGGCCACCTCCTGCTCCAGGGCCCTCTCACCACGCTCAGCCTGGGCTGAGGCCGCTGCTCATGGCTCCCCTCAGCCCGGGCAGTTCCTCTTCCAGCCAAACGCTGCAAACCCAGAACCCTCAAGACCTGTCACCGTCTTGGTGACAACTTTTATTCCTCTCGGGTGAAGCCACGCAACTCCCAGCTCAGAGCCGAGGTT